GGGGGGGGGGGGGGGGGGGGGGGGGGGGGAGTAGACTGGAGCCTCATTGCCCGCCTTCAAAATCACTCCCCCCCAAAAGCTAAGGCCAGGCAAACCTCAGCCTGTAGCTTGCTCCCCACCCCTTCCTGAAGACAGCATCAGAGCTGGGGCAGGGGAGGGAGGGAAACAGGGCTAAGCAAGGGAAGAGAGGCTGTAAGCAGGCTCCTTGGGCTTGACTGGCTCCGAAGTGGAGCTTGATTCCACCCCCTCCCCAAAATAGGCAAATGTCTGTTGGGTCAGGGGGGCAATGTAACTCATGGAGCTTTATGTAAATGTTCCTATTATGTAAATGTAAATGCACCCCAAATGGTCACATGGTAAGCAGCTTGCAAGTCTACATTGACATACAATGTTCTGAAATAGTGCAAGTTTTTAAATCATACAACTGTTGTTAAATTCAGATAGAAGCTTTTTAACTAAACTTTGTTCCTTATTTTTGAAAATTATGCCTTTTAGTCACACAACAATTAGTCTGCTGTTATAATGGGTTTTTCCACAGTGATAATAGAGTTGCAAGATAAACCATCTTACCATGCCTTTTTACTGTGACTCCATGGTAAGGAAACTCATTTTTCTTAGACAACTCGAGCAACCAACGAACAGTTGACTTGCACAGTCCAACTATTTCCACAGCAGACCCATCTCTAAGACGAAAGAACAGATATAGATTTTAAGAATATTCAATGAAGTTAATAGATTACTGGTGTTTTGCTCAGAATATTTTAAGAATTACTTTTTTCCATAAATCTACTGAGACCCTAGAACGGGGGTCTCCAACTCACTCCACCTCCCAGAGCAAATCCAGGCTGCAGGGCTCTGTGGAGGCTGGATTTGGATGTGGTCACAGGAGGGGAGGGTGCTAAAATGCCCCCTGCCACCGACATGTCGCCAGAGGGGTTCCACGTCCCACATTTTAGTTTAGAGCCTGGCCCTTCCTCATGGCATCCTCCCTCTCCACCAAGAGAGACACGCTATTAATTTTAACAGTAAAAATAACTACCCTGCCCTCTACAGAATGGGCCAGCTCCAGCAGGTCCATCACTACTCCATGTGTAAACTAATAAAGCTGGTCCCTTGATCCTACAAGGAAAAAACATAAGGCCTAATTTCAAAGTATCAGGAGTATTAGTCAAACAATGTTGCCAACTTTCATCATGCCCAACCTTTAAGTATCACTTCATGCACAACATGAAGCCTGGCAATTATAGACAGAACCTGACCAAAAAGAAAGCTGCAGACAGCTCCACTGCAAAGCCAGAGATTCAGCAGGACAGCATATGACAGGATTTCACTGGTGAGATTATGTATATATCCTGTCATACAACTGACAAAACAAGATGGCACATTCAGAAGAATCCATTTCTGGAATGGCAAATAGGCATCTGAAGCCAGATATGTTACCACTTGCTCTCTACTCATGTAGGTTTCTGTGTACCACCATTTATTGGAAGAAAAAAAACCCCAAACAAAAAAACAAAATCCAAAAGCCCAATTTGTTAAGCACCCCTGATGTACAGAACCCTTGCCTGGCTGGGGGGAAAGAAAAGGGGGGAAAGAAAAGGAAAGGAAAGTCAATTTTAGGGTGCTTCTGTATCTTTTAAAAAGGTCAACTGTTGTTTTTTTGCCCTGAACAAGACACTCTTCCTTTCCTTTCAATTTAGCAAGATGGCAGAAGACATGGGAAACAGGCTTTCATACATGTAGGACTATCATTTTCATTCATTTTATTCAAGAACCAAACAAATAAAATACAACAGTGGAAACACAATGAAGGCTTTATAAAATGGCAAACAATGGATGCTCTCAATCAGTTGGCAACTGATAAGGAAGCAACATCACTGCTCTTAAACTGCAACAAACCAGAAAGCCTGCAGCATTTTCCAAGCATATACAGTATAACCTCACAAATCCGGCATCCTTGGGACCTAGGACCTGCCAGAAATTTGAAAAGTCCACATTTTTAAAACAGCGTGCAGTCACTGCTCCAGGACCGGCCACTGCTATTCCTCACCCCTGCTCTGCAACCACCCCCTGGACGTGGAGGGGGAAGCTTTTACATGGCGGCTACTGCTGCCATCCACCACCCCGTGCCGCCACTCAGGACCAGCTGCTGCTACTACTCTCCAGTGTAGTGTATTTTTAAGAAGTGCTGGATTTTTGAGAATTCCAGAATTTTGAAAACTGGATTTATGAGGTTATACTGTAGTAACAATGGTTGTTTTTAAATTAATTTAATCAGTTTAAAATTAAAATGTTTGCAGTATACAGTGTTTATCTAAGACCATTTTACTATTAAGGATGGAGGATAAAAAGAACTTATACAAATACTTCAAATTCTATACCAGAAGTACTCAAATCCTACTGTAAGCATTAATAGGGAGCAATGTTGGTTACTACTCATTGAAGGATCTAAATAGTTATTTTTTCCCAGTTACCTAACATTACAATGCTGTGATTTATTTTTTTCTGTTACATGCTTCAATATTGAAATAAAATGTTAATTTGCCATACAAAACTGAATCCATGTCAGCAAGATACTATGCTCTACAATGTTCTACTTCTTCAAATATGCATGGTATCACTGCTTACTGTTTACACTTCCCTAAGAGGAAAATACAGTTCAGAAGTATTAGAATATTTGAGAGCATTTATCATCTATTTGTAGTGGGATCATAAGAGAAGAATATAAGCAAGAGGTTAGCTATTCAAAAAAATCCAAAATTATTCAAGTCTTTACCACCAGTAGTTCCTACCTTGGAGTAGCAGAACACCATCCCACCTCCAGTGGAACACCACTGGGCAATAGGTCGCTGGCTTTCTTGCTGCCTGAGACTCGGTGGGTGCTGTGTGGGGTGTTCTGCTCAGTGTCCTCTGAGGATGCACTTTTTCTGAACTTCTGACCCATCTGCACATCCTTTTGTCATTTTTTTGTCCCCCCTAATTAGTTGTCCTTGTCCTCACTAGCCCAATTAGTAAGGGCTACTATGTAATGTGGTGGCCTAGCCCACATTCCCCAACAGGACAAACACACTTACCTTGGAGTAGCTGGAATTCCTTTGTTGCGAGCTCTCTCGCTCTCTCCCATTTTATCCATCCATGTGCCGCAATTAAAGCGGTTGCCTCCACAGACAAAGCCAGTTTCATGGTTGATACCTGCAGTCACATTGAAACCTACCAAGAAAGCAAATCACAACTGAAGTTGGCCAGATTCTGAACAGGACATAGAACAAAATGTATTTTGAACCCACCAAGGCCTCTCTTGAAAACTAGTTACACACTTTTGCAATGGATGTACTTGTATTTCTAGAGTACGCATGCAAGAATACCTATAAATTAAAATGTTTATTCTCACATATTTATAACATTACATTGTCAGAGGCATGGAATGCAAAATTAAATTTTCAAAAAGTTAGATTCCAAACAACTTAAAAAGGGGGGGGGGGGGGGGGAAGAACTACTTTTTTGATTTTTAGTCTCATTTTAA